GTCGAGTCGGCCCCGACTCATAGCGACCCCTCCTTGGGTTTCCGAGGCAGTATCACTACGGAAGTAGGATTGCCCAACCTTCCTTCCCAGGAGTGGCTGGTGGGTTTGAACCGCCAGCCTTCTGGTTAGCAGTCAAGTGCTTTAGCCACTATGCTACCAGAGCTCCTTAATTTGTGTAGTCAAATAAAAAATTATTGTAATTTTCCCACAATGAAAGACTGCCACAAAATTGAGCTGTTTTCCCCAACTCCACAAACAATAAAATATTTAAAAACACACACACACACACAAAAAAAAATCAAACGAAAAAACACCTCACTGCCATCAAGTCAATTCCGACTCATAGTGACCACTTCTTAGGTTTCTGAGTCAGTATCTCTATGGATGTAGACTGACCGGTCTTCCTTCCGAGGAGCAGCTGGTGGTTTTGAACCACAAGCCTCTGGTTAGCAGTCAAATGCCTTAGGCACTATGCCATCAGAGCAACTTTTATTTTATTTATTATTATTTTTTAAAAAATTTTATTGTGCTTTGGGTGCAAATTTACAGAGCAGAATTTGTTTTACATTCATGTTCATTTAGTCTCACTCCCCAATTACCATCCCCAATCCTAACCCACTCTCTTCTTCTCCCTCCCTGTGACCCCCCAACCTTGTGCCCTTCCATGTGAATGTTGCCCTTCTGGTGCCCCATGACCAATTGTTCCAAGGGGTGTAGGTCCATAGATTAGGTGGGTACCTCACCCTGGGTTGGATGTTCTGCATATAACTCTTAGTACTTTTAGTCTCAGAGCCAGCCCTTGGGAGTGAGTCTAATCCCAGGCCCATATTCTTGGGAGTCCCACAATATTCCATCTGACCAGTAATTCTGGGCATTATTGTGGTTTTGAATTTTGTTCCACGTTTTCCCTCCCAATCTATCCAGTATTTCCAATTTTGATCCCTTCACAAGTGATTGGCATTGGTAGCTGGGCACCATCTAGTTCTTCTGGTCTTGAGGTCCATCTATCCGAGGGTTGATTGTCTCCAAATGCCCTTGATTTTCTTCACTCTTCTTCACTGCAGATGAGAGGAGACCATTAGCTGCATCTTAGATGGCACTCAAAAGCTTTTAATACCCCAGTCGGTACTCACCAAAGTAGGTTGTGGCACAAAATTTTTATGTATTATGTTGTTCCAATTGAGCCTGGTGTCCCCCAGTACTATGATTCTGAATTGGGAGACCTGGTGATTCTCTCTCCCAAGGTGTTTAGCTGTCTCTAAGGGATTACTCCAAGTCTGTCTTCTGTTGCTTTTATAATGATTGCGGTTATTTTTTTATCACTTGTTTCTGCGCACGATTATCCTCAGCTGAATCTATCATTGGTCTAGAGTATATTTCTGTTCAGTGACCCCCATCTGATCTTCTCAGTTGTCTGTGCATATATCTGTAGCCTGTGTTTGGTGTTAGAGGTAATGCAATATTGTGTATATACTGGTATTAGTCCCTGTTTTCTATATCTTATGCGCACAATTCGGTGTCCTCCCTTTCCCCAGTGTTATCATGCTGGTCACAGATTCTTTCCATACCATCCCTCCCCTTACCCAACTCAGCATTTGGCCCCCAACTAGTCTGAAATTTCCCCCTCCTCTTCCCTCCCATCCCCAGTAACCTTCAAAGTGGTTCAGTTCTCTAATTCTATATTCCTCCTACCAAAAATAAAATAGAAAAGGTAAACTCTTACAAGTCAATCTATGAAGTGATTTACAATATGCTTCTAAAGGAACCAAGAACTCTTTTAAAGAAAAAAAAAAAAAAAACATTGATAATATTTTACTCTATTAAATTCTAAAAAGTTTCATTCTATAGAATATAAACATATATGGTTATTTCCTATTATTTTAGCATGTTGTTGTTGTTAAGTGCCGTCGAGTC